CAGCAGCAGCTGCAGCAGCAGGAGAAGCAGCTGCAGCAGCAGCAGCAGCAGCAGCAGTAGCTAGCTGTACCAGTTTCTTGTGCGGCCTTAAGACGTTCCATCAGGAATGTTCATATTTCTTCTCAAATAAGTGTAGTTTGAAATTAATAAAGGTTTATAAAATAACTGTAAAGGGGGAGTGGTGGTGCAGAGGATGGAGATGGTGGGGCCTGTGATCGGAAGGTCACCGGTTCAAATCCCCAACCCGACAACATCAAATGTGGGTGGGAAAAGTGAAACACGCTCACCTGCCTCAAGTGTGAGTGTTTCACTCACACACGCACAATGAGGGACGTGCTTATGGCTGGTTTGAGCCTCATCTGCCCCACTCTGGGCCCTTGAGCAAGGCCCTTAACACCCACCATGGAGGCCTGTGTTTGGGTCAGGAAGGAGATCCGGTGTAAAAACAATCGCCATGTCTTCGTGCAAGTTATTTCACTGTAGCGACCCGTGAAGAAGGAGCAGCTGAAAGAAGAAGAGTTAATTAATTTTATTAAATAACTGTAAATCCTTAAAACAATGTTGGAATGAACGTCTGTGACGTTCAGGCTGTTGCACTTAAAGCAGTTCATGAGTGATGGTTTTAAAGTTTTACATCCCTGTCAGTTTTAAAATGCTCATTTTAAAACTGACTCCATTTTAAATGCATCTGGTGTATTTATTTGTTTTAAAAAGTTCATTATTTTGGCAGAAATATTTCAACATTTCTGTCTGTTATGTGCAGGAAGTGCTACAGTAGCTGCTGCTGTTTTCTGCAAACAGACATTAGATCCTCCAGAAACAATTGTTTGATGTGAAGCAGAGAGCAGAGTGAAACTTGAGGAACTCGATGTTTTCACTTTGCTCTCTGCTCGTGTCAGATTAGGTGTTAGCTCCTCACTGAGGAAGAAACTGAATGTACTTCTGTTGACTCATCAGTCAACAGAAGTACATTCAGTTTTTCAAACTGAGGTCATTCAAAGTGCCATCTACGACAGGTAAGATACTGACTGTTCATAACGTTTACATAGAGCCCCACTTTAGAAGATCTGAAGTGTCCCTGAAATAAGAGTTCGAGTCAAAGAGCAAACAAATTGTTGCCACTATTTGTTTTTGTTTGTTGGGAGGTGATTGATACAGTAAAGACTGTGTGTGTGGTTCATCTTCATCGTGTTCCTTGCTGTCATTTAGATGAAAAGTAACACACACACACACACACACACACCAGAGTATGTAGAGCTTTTGTGCTGTCGCTGCATGAAGTGAGAACTTATTGCAGCTGTTCTGTGTGTTGGCACCGGAGCATCAGAGCTGTGAATGAGCAGCTATGACGACTTCAGAGCAGCTCGTTGATTAGGAGCTGCTGGCTCCAGCATCATCATCGTCACCCTTTACAACTCGGGCAGAAATAAAAGCAGCTGAAAGATAAAGCTCCATTTTCCAGCATCTCACCTCGTTTCCACCCCAACACTTGTCAGTCAGCTTGACGAGCCGGCTGCCCTGAAACAACATCTTGCCCGAGGCTGAGATCCCTCAGCATCCAGCGAGCTGCCACAGGCTGGGAGGAGGAGGAGGAGGAGGAGGAGGAGGAGGAGGAGGAGGCAGGTGCTCGATGCATGGGGACGGCGTGCTCTCGCTGTTAATGACTGGATTTCGCCTGATCCCAGATGAGCTTGGGCCTTTGTTTTCTGCTGTCTCTGTGACGCACCTTGACAGGAAGTGGAGGTGAAAGCTTCACTGTGAGGTCTGATGAAGCAGCACAGGTTTGATCTGAGCCCCGGGTGTTGGAGGCAGCAACACGGTGCGCAGGGATCACCGCAGGCTGGGCTCCTCCGCTCTGGGGCCGGTTCTTCTCTTTAGCTCGACAGGGACTTTGCATGTGACCAAACAAAGTCTGCTATAAATATAAATCTTAATAAATATAAATCTTTCTCTGCTATAAATAGTTTATGAGGCAGATAACAATGGACACGACGCAGAGAATTGGTTTGTCGGCACTCCGTGTGCTTCACGTCCAGCAGAACTCTGCAGCATCTTTACAAAGTGAGCGAACAGGTGGACGTGCACGTGTTGGCTCTGATTGTTCCTCCTGCAGGTGACCGCTGTGCCACCTCTGAGAAGATCAACTTTTTGTACTGGCAGGTGAAGATGAAGTGTGTTGTGGAGGATCTCCTGAGAGCTGCAGGGGACTGTGCTCCATGGTGGAACGTTCCTGACATCTCATCCAGCTCCTAAATGAACAAGCCTGCTGTTCTGCACAGAAAACCTCTGGGTGGTTGTATTTGAATAATAATGACAAGTGTTTGGTGATTTAACAAGCCAAAGCTGTGAGAGTGACTGTTTTTATATCTTTCAGTTGTGTGAGAGAAACACAGAAGTTTGAAATGACAGCGTGAAAAACCCCACGAGGCTGAACACTGATTTCTGACTCGCACTCTCTGACACTTGGCTCACGCTGAAGGAGTCCATCTGGATTCGGGCATTTCACACTCGTCTCTTTCCTTTTCCCCAAAACTTGTGGGTTGTCTAAAAGACGCGTCTGCACCGGTGCACGGAGAAGTCTCAAAGCTCCACGACAAACCTGATGGGGCCGTGACTTTTTGTGTCAGACCTCTCGTGTGCATCCAAAGCAGGCAGCGGTCCATGAAGTGGATCAGGATCTTTGTTTTACTCACATGGATGAAAGCTTTGAACAGGGACGGCTTTCACTTTCACCCGCTTCCTTCCATGATGAAATCACTTGTTTCTATGTTGTGACTGCAGCACGTGCCTGCTGCCTCTTTCTTTTGTTTACTTGTTTAATATTGTTTTGAATATTTAATATGTAAAGCAAGCGCACAAAACATTCAAATCTGTAAACATCATCCCATCAGTTGTTGTCTTGTCATTTATGGTAACTTTCCAGCTCATCCTCCTGTGGTCTTCAGCTGTTTTTACTTCTGCTTGTTTTTGTGTAAAAACTGATGAATGTTAAAGGTTTTACCTGATTTACTTTCTAAAGTTGGGAGTTTGTAGTTTTTGAAGCTCTGACGCCCTGTCGACATTATTCCAGATATTTATTATTATTTGTATTATTTTAATGGAGACTAGTTCTTCCAACTGCACCGTTCTTACCAAACCAGTAAAATGCTCAGGCTGTGCCACTAATTCAGCAGAAGCGTCCACAATGAGGATGAGACGGAGAAAGAACATTCTTAGCTTGGCTAAAGACTCATGAAATGATAAGTAGACCATTTTCACACTTTTACAGGTTTGACAGAAAATCAACAGGCAGTAAAACTTCTTGGGATCACCTCTGCTGTATATGTATGAGTGGGGGGGGGGGGTCTCACAGTTTT